CTAGGTGCTCTTACACGTGTGGCCAGGAAGTCGTGTTATATCTACACCCTTTGACGGTGAAAGCACATACCAGTTGATATTCTAGAACTTTACATTGTGTATGGAGCAGATGTGAAAGGTGTGACCCTAGGTGGGAGTGGTTGACATGCTCGAGTGCGGATATCATTAGAGTTTGAGTTAGATTTCTATCATAAATTCAAGTTACAAAATATGAATTATATGTTTAACAAAAAATATATTAGTAAAAACTTCTTTCAAATACAAATCTAACAGTACAATTACTATATTATATAACATATTTTGCAAGTGACATCTATATTGAATATTGTTTTAAGATACGAGCGGAGCTGACAAAATTTGGATGGAGGAAGTACTTTGTCTTGGAGACAGTTAATTTTCCTAGTACGGTCTTGCGTCTTAGGGCCAGAATCGCAGCCAAACCCATTGAATATTTTGCTTTTAGTGTTTTTGGTTTTCAGTTTCTCTCTGTTCGCACCACAGTGACTTGGCATGTAGCCAAAATGGATGATCACCTTGTTGAGCTTTCTGTTATTCTGCAGCGCGTGGGCGGCCTGAAGGGCATGGCGACGGATGACGAGGACTCCAACTCTGACTGAGCTCAAAGAGGAGCTCGGGCGTGACTCCAACAATGGCGCAACAACGGGAGAAAGGATATTTTGGAGTTATTGGTGAGGAGAAGCGTCGGGAAAAGCGGTAGCAAGAGAAAGAGAGGTTGAAGATAGTTAGTGATCATGGATGGGCATTCCATGAGTTTGAGTCAAATAAAAATCCGGAAAATAATTTATGAGGTTGATGTTGTGCTACCCAATAATGGTTTAGGAATGTTGCATCTCTGCTACCAATTGCCACCATGCATCTCAAGTTTCTGTTTTGCAAGAACTATTTATTGCTTTGCCTCTTGAGTTTCTATTTTCAGTAACTATTTGTTGCTTTGCGTTGGCAAAAGCACAAAGGGATGAGCTCTTGATGTTATGTCTACCCTACTCAATGTAAATTTTGTTGACCTAGTGACCGCTTTAACTAGGCCTAGTGCTAGTCAGTCGATATCAGTTTCATTAAGTTTCACAAGGCTCTATACATGTGGATGCGGGAGCAGTGTAAGTAGGCGAAAAGGGCCCTTCTCTAAATATGCTCTAGTACGCTCGGCATTAATTTTAGTTTAGACCAGCCTTCCATTTAGGGGTGTTCTTTGGGACTCTTTAGCCAACCCTTTGCCGCTGGGGCTACCGAGGGCCTATTAGATTTTGTACCTACCAGATAAGTATGTTAGACACCCCAGACTATGGAATTTGGGACACAATTCTCCTAACCTTTTTCTGAGGTATAGTTAACCCCCTAACGTAATTTAACCACAAGATTTTTGTCTCGTTCTCCTGGCCTGGATTTTCGACCGGTTCTCCCGGCCTATTTCGCTGATTATTACTGACCATTTGCGATGCTGAGATTGGCTAAGTTCAAGTCAAATCGTGCAATCCAAAGATCTCGGCATACCCTTCTCTCGAACTCCATCTCCTCAATAGTGATAGAGCTCCGTTATCATGGCGACTATGGCGTTGAGGCATTGGTCTCGGTGGAAAATCTGAACATGCAACTGGTGAAGTTTGATGGGGAACACATCGCTTAAAGGTTTCTTCGTGGCAGAAGTGTTTACTTACTCTTGGAGGGCATGATGGGTGATGGCTTTATTTTGAGTTCATAAAATTCATCTTTTGTTGGGAAAAAGGGACCCTCGTATTAGTGAGTATTCTTTCTATCAAGTCAAAATTAAAGATGTGCATGGGTATTTTCTAGAAGGAAAAAGGCACATGTGTTGTTGGTGTGTAAATATAATAGAGATTAATTTGTGGAGCGGCAAATGTTGCTTGTTTGGTCATGGGACAATGAGAACGAGAAAGGTGTTTGCCACTCCACACACGGTGGAAATGTGTTCTATTGCTAGTCAATACTCCATCCGTTCACAAATATAAAACGTCCTAACATTTTTCTGAATTGGATGTATTCCTTGCATATAAGATTTATCTGAAGTAGAAGTATCTTTGATTTGACCAAACTTATAGAAACATTCACAATACAAAATCAATATTATTATATTTATTATGGAATGTAAGTTCATATTTTATATATTTGGTATTGTAGATTTTTATATTTTTTAATATAAATTTGGTCAAATCTTATACGCGGAATAAAAAAGACCAGAGTGTAAGTATCCTTCTAAACTCGAGCTCAAATGCTCCTACCATGAACAGTAAAATAGAAAACAAATTCAAAAAATTCTGAATCTTTTTTGTGGCAAACTTTAAGAAATGTTTGAAGTGCATGCAAAGTTTCACCACGAAATCACACTGGGGCAAGTCGTGGCAATAAAAACAAATTCAGACCTCCAAAATACATTTGAAAGTAACATTTTCATAGTATCGATTTTGGTTTTTTTACCAACACATTGCACCGATGTGATTTTGTGCTGAATTTTTTCATGCACCCAAAACATTCTTTAAAGTTTGCCAAAAAATCAGATTTTTTTTGATTTTTTCAAACTTACTGTCATTTGAGCTCGAGCTTAAAAACTCCACATCCGGACCAGAGGGATTATGTAGACATGTTTAGTGTATTTTTATATTTTTTAATATAAATTTGGTCAAACTTTGTAAAGTTTGACTTGATACAAATCTTATACGCGGAATAAAAAAGACCAGAGTGTAAGTATCCTTCTAAACTCGAGCTCAAATGCTCCTACCATATGAACAGTAAAATAGAAAACAAATTCAAAAAAATTCTGAATCTTTTTTGTGGCAAACTTTAAGAAATGTTTGAAGTGCATGCAAAGTTTCACCACGAAATCACACTGGGGCAAGTCGTGTCAATAAAAACAAATTCAGACCTCCAAAATACATTTGAAAGTAACATTTTCATAGTATCGATTTTGGTTTTTTTTACCAACACATTGCACCGATGTGATTTTGTGCTGAATTTTTTCATGCACCCCAAACATTCTTTAAAGTTTGCCAAAAAATCAGATTTTCTTTTATTTTTTCAAACTTACTGTCATTTGAGCTCGAGCTTAAAAACTCCACATCCGGATCAGAGGGATTATGTAGACATGTTTAGTGTATTTGTTCACCCATTTCAGTCCGTATGTCATCCGCATTGAAAATATCCAAAACGTCTCATATTTGTGAACGGATTGAGTACCTAGGAACCATCATATTTCCTCCCATGTCAAGTAAAAAAATAAAGATATGCATGTACTGCTGGTGTCTAAATAGAAGTGATGGTCCATACCAATAACCGATACCTCATGTACACACAGTATAAGGATAAGGAGCCATGACATGACAACAAGGGGGGAAAGGCCACACAGTTTCAGAGCAGGCCAGTTAGCTAGCTCGCTAACTAGGTAAACTGTTGCCAATTGATGCATTGCAGGAACAACGCAGGAAAAATTTACCATATCGATCTCAATAGAAGATATATATGGATGGTATGTCCCTGTTGATGGTACTACATTAATGTGCAAGTTTTTCACACACCCATGCAAGTGCAACATGCATCCATTCTGTGATAAATCCTGAAGAGAACATCACAAGCTAGCCAAGATACATGGCAGCGCACCAAACAAGCATTGGTCATGATCACCACGCCATTCTTGTCCCTTTGTAAGCAGTAAATATAATTCATTGACTAATCGAAGTAACATGAGTAGATGACACGTCTACAGTAAGAAATTTTCAGTTTCCATTGCATTTGTTGTAACGTACCCCCTGTGGCCGGCGCTGTCCCGTTTGCTTCAGACGGTTTCGCTTCCCGGCTCGCGGCTGCCGGCGGTGAGGCTCTTGTGCTCGCCGTCGTCATGGGCGCCCGGGAGGATGGTGTCGTCGTCCTGATCATCAGCGTCTTTCTTCTTGTTCTTGGTGTACTCGCCGTAGAGGTACGAGGAGAGGCCCCAGACGCAGAGCGCGGTGGCCACGGCCTTCTCGGCGCCGAAAGGATCGCCGAACACGACGACGCCGCCAATGACATTGGCCGTGAGCACCGCGGCCATGCACACGCCGCTGTGGAGCGACGACGTTAGGTAGATCACGCCGGCGGTGCCCATGAAGCACGCCTGCCACGTCACCACCAGCGTCGCAACCACCACCCAGTACACGGCGTGGGACCCCTTCCAGTGGGCCACATCGTTACTGAAACCGCCGGTCGCCGCGAGTCCGATCGCCGCCACGACGGACGCCATGGCCTGCATCACGGCCTGCACCTCCACCGCCAGGATGAACCCGCCGGAGACCGCCTCCCGGTACAGCAGCTCCATGACGGGGAGGTACGCGGAGAAGAGCCCCGCGGCGCCGAGCGTGACGACGAAACCGATGATGTATCCCTTCCTGTCCGGACTCTCGCCCGAGTCGCCGGACCGGAGCGCGAGGAGCACGGAGCAGAGCGTCATGAGCACAACGGCGTTGAGGTTGACGAAGGTGAGAGGGTGGCGGACGATGGCGACGGCGAGGACGAGCGTGAAGGCGAGCTGAGTGGACAGCAGCAGCGACGAGGTGGACACCGGCAGGAGCGACGAGCTGTAGGCGAAGAGCAGGTTGTTGACGCCCATGAGCGCGCCGATGAACAGGCACACGGCCAGGAAGCGCCGCGAGAACCAAAGAAACGGCCGAGGCGCGGAAACGGGCCGGCCGGCGAGGAACGCGGCGACCACGAGCGTCGGGAACCCCGCGGACTGCACAAGCGTGACCACCCACTTGTTCTGCCCGCCGTGCTCGAAGTAGAACCTGGAGAGCAGGCTGGAGACGACGGACCCGATCAGAAGCGCCGCGTAGTTGGCCATCAGGAGCACCGTCGACCTGCTCCTGCGGCGCGGGGCCGCCGTGGCTGCGCCCGCCGGCCCGGAGGAGATCGCCATTGCCGCGCGCGTCGCCGTCGTGGTCAAGGAGGAGTAGGAGGGATCGATGGATGGATGGCGAACTGGCGATGGGCGACGGGGATTGTACATAGGCGGCATGTATATATCGGGTTGGGGAAATTTTCTTGTTGGGGAAGATCAGAGATCACAAAAGGCCATGCAGGAATTGCGTAGAGTAAGGAGGATTTATAGAAGGTTTTTTACACTGCTGCGCCTTCCGTTTCTTGCTTTTCCGGGCGGCCGGATGTGAAAAAGCTAGGCGTCAGTTACAATACGTTACTAGTCTATTGTTTGGTCAGTATATATACTCGTGTATATTTGGGATCACATCAAAGCTGGAAATTAATGATCAGCAGAAAATTAGTACTCCTAAGATGAGGCATGAGAGGAAGCATTGCATGGAAGTAAGTGCAAAATTTGCATGAATATATGGATGTATTCATGCATTCATTGCTCAAATCCAAATATAGTACTAAGGAAGTAGTAGGAGCCAATTAATCGAGAATGTCC